GCATAAGCATTCCTTCCCTTTTCCACCAATTACAGCTCCAGTTAAAACAAATAGATTATACTGTCAGCCATTATTCATTTAATCATGATTGTTCAGGCAATGTTATTTAGGAAAAGATGAAAATAAGCAGCACTAAAACTTAGTAACACATGAAGATGATCTACCACCAACCGTAAAACATCACTCCCCACAAAGGTAATTTCCAGTTACTGAAGAAGAGACTGCTGATTTATTTAGATAAAAAATTACACTAACTTGGTAATGGGATTCTCTGAAGTTAAATTTACCATTTCTTCATTTGAAAGAATTACAGGATGTTTTAAATATGTGCTCATTTTGAATTTTAACATATAGTTAAATATTCATTTGGAGGCTCTTCAAATGCAAAATCATTTAAACTCAAAGTCATATTTACTTCCAACTTTATTTAAGTTGTTAAACAGAAGTTATAATTCAAAATTCTTTTGCTCATGCACACCTCAGCTATCTGAAGTGGATCAAAGTGATTTGTTCTGACCATATTTGGGTGTTAATCAACTCTGGAAATAATTCAATGATTTAAATGACATCATTCATTCAGGTTTATCAAATGCTTTTAATTTCAAAAGTAGGTTAACTCCAATTTATGTATGATAACTAGGAGTGAGAAGTGCAGGATATCAAAAGATTTATTTGAGGAATGCCAGAATGTGAATTCCTAAGTCCATTCAGAGCCATTGATGAAAATATAGGTATGTGTTTTTTAAATTTATTTTTAAAAAGAATCAAAGAAAATTCTCTCCATATACATTGTAACCTGCTGTAAGTTCCTATCATTTCTTTAAATTTACACTCATTTTCAATTTTAACATATATTTAAAACGTAGGGCTGTGCCAATATTCAACATGAATTCATTGAAAACATTTTCATTAATTTTCTAAACTAAGGTTGACCATATACATAGAGTGATTGATTCAAATTAAGCTGTCAGAACTGAAGGCTCTGATATGAAGCCATTCTTTATAGTCCCAATTTTGTGTATCACAAGGTAGAGATGAAAAGGACATTCAAAGGATTCTTTTAAAGTAATGCCCTAATTTAAATCCTACATTTAACTGAGCAACTTTAAAATTCTGGCTTAAAAAGAATGAAACAGAAACAATTACTTCCATCCACACTTGCCAGAGTAATTGAATATGACTATTTCCAATGTGAATAAGACGTTTCTATAATTATTAAATTAAAGAAAGGAGCTTAGCAGAGATGGCTAAGTTGGGCTTAGAGTGATGTATTTTAATTTTATAAATTCAGCCCAACATTGAGAAGGCTGGCTATCCATACACTGCCAATCATTATGGTGCAAGTCTTCCTGTTCATTATCATTTCAAGTTGGGCTGAATTTATAACATTAAAATACATCACTCCAGAGCTATTCCCATAAGCAACCAAACAACCAGAACAGATTGTAGCACATTATACCAGCCTCAACTGTGCCAGTTAAAGATGAAGAAACTGTTTGAAACAGAGACAAAGAGAGAGGGATGGAGAAATATTAATAATATCACACTGACATGGTTGAATATACCTGGATTCAGATCCAACTTCCACCACTTTTATCTAACTTGATCAAAAAAAAAAAAAACTTGGGTTTTTTGGACCCACTCATGAAGAGTCTTAGTCTTAGAAGCTGCTATTAAAAACAAACAAAACAAAACCAGCTCAATTGTCTGTAAGATCAAGACTATAAATAATGCCACAGAATTTGATAATGGTTAAATATCTCTAAAAATCATCACACTGAACTTTTAAAAAATAGAAGGTTCCTCAGATTGCTTTAAATAAATTCAGAGAATTACTATAGGTTTTAACATAATTTTCAATAAAAGTTGATCCATCACTTTAAAAATCACTCCAAACAGTACTGAAATGGAAATATTTTTTAAAAAAATTATTTTCCCTTTTTCTTCTAGGGATATCATTATCAAGAATGCATAATGAGACATCTGAGTTTCTTCTCTGGGAATTCTCAAAGATTTGGGAGCTACACGTTATGCATGTAGCTTTATTACTGATACTGTATTTCATGACAGTAACAGGGAACCTTCTTATCATTACTGCTGTTATTTCTGACGACCACCTTCACACCCCCATGTACTTCTTTCTGATAAATTTAGCCATGCAAGACATTGGTTCAGTTTCAGTCATTATCCCCAAGGCTATTTTTAATTTTTTGATGAATATCAGAAATATTTCTTATTCTGGCTGTGTTGCCCAAGTCCTCTTGTTTGTCTTTTTCCTGGGCTCTGATGTTTCCCTCCTTACTGTCATGGCCTATGATCGGTATGTTGCCATTTGTAATCCTTTGCAATATCAAATGATAATGAACAGGAAGGCTTGCACCATAATGATTGCCAGTGTGTGGACTGCCAGCCTTCTCAATGCTTCATTACACACTATTGTCACTTTTACTACTCCTTTCTGCTCTAATATTATCAATCAGTTTTACTGTGAAATGCCATATTTATTTAAGATTGCCTGTTCTGGTTTATATGTATCTGAAATTGGAGTCCTAATGTTCACTGCTACATTAATAGCTGGCTGTTTTGTTTTTGTCATTGTCACTTATGTGCATGCCTTCTCTGCCGTTCTGAGAATTCCTTCAGTACAAGGAAGGAAAAAAGCCTTCTCTACTTGCCTACCACACCTCATTGTCTTTTCCATATTTTTGTTTACTGGTTCCATTGCTTACCTAAAGCCTATAGCTGACAGTCCTTCATTCCTTGACTTGATAATAACAATAATGTATTCCATTATTCCAGCTATGTTGAATCCATTAATCTATAGTATGAGAAACAAAGACATCAAAGTCACTCTTTCAAGAGTTTTTGGTTAAAGAGTTTTTTTTAAGAAGAATGAACTTTGCAGCTACCCATTCTTGAATTTCAACAGGAAAGTGAAAAACAGACATAAACTATAAAAAATTACTCTGTGTAGCTGTCTCCCAATTTCCAATACATAATGTTAAGTTAAAAAGTTCATTTTATTGATTTATGAGATTGGACTCATCTCTGTTAAGCCTGAAGAATTTCAACAGGAAAGTGAAAAACAGACATAAACTATAAAAAATTACTCTGTGTAGCTGTCTCCCAATTTCCAATACATAATGTTAAGTTAAAAAGTTCATTTTATTGATTTATGAGATTGGACTCATCTCTGTTAAGCCTGAATGTTGTTATGGTGCACTAAGACAGATCTGACTTTTTGTGAGTATGAAATGAAAGTGAAATTGGAGTTGTATTGTTCAGTGCTACATTAGGATTTGGTTGTTTCATCTTCATTGTTGTTACCTATGTGAAGATCTTCTCTCCTGTTCTGAGAATTCCGTCAGTTGAAGGGAGGAAAAAGGCCTTCTCCACTTGCCTACCTCACCTCATTGTTTTCTACATATTTTTGTTTAGTGGTTGCTTTGCTTAACTGAGGCCCACTTCTAAAATCCCTTCAGATCTTAATTTTATAATTACATATTATATATTACATATGTATTCCATAATTCTACCCATGCTGAATCCGTTAATCTACAGCATGAGCAACAAAGACCTTAAAGCTACTTTCAAAACTTCTGTGGTCATTTCTTTTTGAAAAAATGGTGATTCATGTATCTACTTTTTTGTCTATATTAATAGCTAAAGTTAGTGCTCTTCAGAATTGTTTAAATGCACTGAATGTATTCTCATAGCCCATCATTCAGAACATCTTCATGGAAAAGCTGAGATGTTGGAGTTTTTGTCAAATTGTCCTGGTCTATATTGATTAGTCATTGTCCTCAATAAGGAAAGGATCCACATTTAAAGACTTTTCTTTTTTTAATTTCCTGTTTTGGTTGCTGAGATGAGTGCATGTTTCTCCTCTCTCTTCTGATTAAAAGACTTTCAAACTTCTGTATTATTGGGCTGTGTGGATAAGGGCTTTCATCACAGGGTTATAAAACTTTTCATTAGATATTATTTTGTTTTACAAGCTATTGGAATGGCAACTAGACCTAAACTTTCTATAGCTGGCTTAATTTTAACACTGCCACTATCTTCTGAGCCAGGCAAGATGACAGAGGAGGATTCTTCTAGTACTTTATTAAAAGTAATCCTAGCTCAGATATAAGGTTTGAAGCTGATCCAACGAGATCTGGCAGAGCTTAAATGTGATTTAAAGTCAATGCAAGAAAAAAAAGTGGTATGAGGATCATGTCAATGTCCATGAAACCATAATACAAGCTAGTCATAATATTTTGGATAAACAAATGACTAATTTAGAGTCACAATAGTGTAGGAAAAATTTGGTATTGCAAATTCTCCAAGTCAAACCTGGCTGAATTTATGGAAGATGTTTTTAAGAAAGTTCCTTTCTTTTCAAGACTGATCATGTGATTAAAAATCTTTTAATGAGAAGGCAGATTGGAACTAGTTCCAATGCTATTATTGTGCAGTTTCTCTGTATTATCACAAGAGATGACATTTTATGTATATTTCTCCAGGAATCAAAGTGGGATTCTAGTCAAAGCAAGATATTGATTTATCTTGATTTTACTAAAGAGGTTTTAGAAAAGAGAAAGATGTTTACAGAAGCTCGAAGTCTTGCCAGATCAATACAACTTCAATATTTCATGCATTTTCCAGGTACGTTCTGCATTAGTCATCAAGATCAGATTCATAAATCTGATAATCCCTTGAATATGGAGGCCTTTATTCTATGTTTAAAATCTGCAGATGGGCAACCTTGATTCTGTTTCATTCCATGGAATCTGCTGTAATCCATAAGTATTCAGCTCTGCTGTAATAGCCTCAGTTTAGAAGTCTACATGCCTTTGTTACTATATATATATTCTTCTTTTCCTTAGGGTTCTTTTAAGTCTCTTTAATAATGTCAGTTGCTTGTTCTTTTATTTTTATGCACATAATCACATTTGTTTTTCTTTTAAATATAGATTCTATATACATGTAAATGAATAGAATTTGAATGTTAATTGAGTCTTGTTGGAGATTTTACATTTGTGAGCAATACATGAAAATATGTTAAATATTTAAATATAGAAAAGTTCATTTTTAGATATTTGTTAAATGATATATGTCATAAGATGAATTAGTATTGAGAGAATATTGATAAGTGAGCCAAAATGTAAGTAATGGATGAACTTAGTCTTAATGTAAAAGGGCTGCAGGAAACCAAAAAACAAAATGTAATTGTAGCATATTTAAAATAGTTAAGGACAGATATTGCTTATCTATAGGAGACTCACTTAATGGAACTGGATAAATATTTATTAATGAAGGATTGGGTGGGACAGGTTTACCACACAGATACTTTAATGAAAGCTAAAGTTGTGGCCATTTTGGTTTGAAAGGGATTCCCAATTGATGTACAAGTTATCGCTGATGTAAATAGACATTATTTAATTTTGTGTGCCAAGATAGCAGAGACTGCAATAGCTATGGTTAATGTTTATGAACCAAATTTGGTTTCTCCTATTATGTTGTATGAATGTTTTCAACACTTAAATGAGTGTATTTATGATAAACTGATAATAGGAGGGGATTTCAATGAAATCTTGGATCCTGAGCTTAATAAAAATACACTGATATGAAAAAAAGAAAACAACCATTAGTGAGGGAAACAATTAAGACTTAGATGGAAGAATTTAATTTAGTAGACCCCTGGGATTTGATGTATCCAACTGAAAGAGAATATACATTTTATTCAAATGTGCACCAGAATTTGTTTAGGCTTGATTATTTTTTAATATCATTGACCTTATGTCATCAAATTCAAGAATGTAACATTGATGTTTGTTATGTATCTGATCATAGTGCAATCACCCTGCGAGGTGTGTTTCAGAAACCAGTTAAGGTATCCAGAAGTTTTTATTTCAATATTTCCCCATTGAATGATAAAGAATTTATACAGAGAATCAGGGTAGAGACTTTGCAATACTTTAATCTGAATTCAGGAACATCAAGTGCCTGAATTTTTGAATGGGAAGCATATAAAGCATATATATGAGCTGGAATTATTGCTTTGGCATTATACAAAAAGAAGATTACAAATAAAAGGGAAAATAATTTGAAAGATGAATTGAAACATTTATGGGCACAGATAGATAGATGCCCATTATAGTTTTGTACACAGAAATACAGAAAAAGAAATATAAATTAAGTACTATAATATCACAGCAGACAGAATTTATGTTAACATGTTTACAACAGAGATAGCGGGAGAATGGTGAAAGACCTGGTAAGAACTTGGCTAATTGCTTAAAGCTAAAGAAAGATAGGGCAATGATTCCAATTATCAGAGGTAAGAGAGATGAAATGAATAAAAATTGTCAATTTTTAAAAATTGTATTCAGAATTATGTGTAGAATAATGATATGGAGGCATTTTTAAATAAAATTGACCTACCACATTTAGATGACACACAACAACTCTTATTCACTCCATCATTGGAGACAGAGATTAAGCAAATAATTTTAAAAATGGCAAGTGGTAAAACCCCAGGATTAGATGGATTTAATATGGATATGTATAGATCTTTTGGTGCCAAAACTTTGTCAAATGTGTGAAGAGATATTTGATAATTGAATTTTATCACTAACATTTATCCATGCTTATTTGATGGTTATACCAAAAGCAGGTAAAGGTCATACACATGTGCTAATTATCATCCAATCTCATTGATTCATGTCAACCCAAAGATTTTAACAGCAGTATTAGCAAATAGATAACAGCAAGTGACATCATTCATTATTAAGAATGATCAAGCAGGATTTATAAAAACTAGGCAAGCAGCAGCAAATATTAGGTTAGTATTAGATCTAATAGACTTGAATAAAAGTAAAGATCAGTTTGTGATTTTATCATTAGATGCTGAAAAAGCCTTTTACAAAATACATAAATAGCACATGTTTGCTGTACTAAATAAATTTGGATTTCCTTTGGAATTCATAAAATACGTTAAGATATTTTCATGATTCATCCACAGGTAAAGTAGAGGTTAATGGCTTGCTTTCTGCTGCTTTTCCACTATTTAGAGGAACTAGACAAGTATGTCCACTTTCACCCTTGCTTTTTAATAGCTGCATGGAACCCTTGGCTTGTGCTATTAGACAACACAGGGAGATCTACAGAGTAGTACACAACTCAGTTGAACACAAATTGGTTTTATTTGCAGACAACTTTCGTTTGTTTATTTCTAAACCTCATACTACTATTCCAGTATTGATGTAAAAGAAAGATGCCTTTAGTAAAATAGCAGGATGCTCTAATAGCTAGTCCAAATCAGAATTGATGCCAATAGTGAAAATTTGGCTACCCATCCATTTAAGGAATTTCACTTCTGGAATTGTACCGAGTCTATTAAATATCTAGATTTAACTCAGTAACACAGCAGTAATATAAATAAAATATGCAGAGAGGTTTCTTCAGATATCAATAGATGGGAGTCATTAAACCTTACCCTTTGAGGAAAGGTGAATGCTCCCAAAGTAAATATTATTCCCAGATTGTCACAACCCATGATTCAGAGTCTGAGTCTGACTGACTCTGATGATGTTCCAGCTGAGCCTGTGGAATGTCAGCCTCAGGAATCCTCTGAGGCTGATCAACCACAGGCAACTCCTGGTCAGCTGGAGCAGTCAGATGACAAGGGATGACCCCCAAGCCCCATATCCAGACACAGGAAGCAGCGAGCAGAACAGCATCAATCAGTGAGATTCCTTGCAAGGCAAAGGGAAAAGTCTCAGCAACTTCAGCTAGCTACCAGCAAAGAAATTTGTGTAGCTGCTTTGCTTTCATTCTCTGTTGGAAACAACTGTTTGGAATCCTAGATCTCAACCCGTGTTCCTGT